AACAACTGTGTGAAGGGGGCACGAACGACTTTGAAAGTCGAATCAATGTACCACTACCAGCGGGTAGTCTTTGCTAGCAGGGTTAGCATTAGGGGAAGTGCAAACAGCAGGTGTCTGCGTTCACGCACTCTTATGTCGCGTCGCATAAACCCATCTGCAACAAAGGCATTATCAATATCAAAATCAAGATTGCGGGGATGGGGAGGCCGCATCTGCTGCCTTTTTCTGTTTGCAGTGCGGGCCAGGTGATCTAGGCAGGGTAGTGCATCTATAGGGCCGCCATCCAATTTCTCATCAAGTACCTCAGAGACGATGCTCGGGGCGGAGCGGAACATGCTCCTCGTTGCCTTTCTCTTCACGTCAGCAATCACTTTGAGAGCTGTTGAGGCACCCGGCACAGGCTGGTGACAATGTGGTTGGCCATCTGTAATGAATGTATTGTCATTTTTATTCGGCTTAACGAGTGCCAAGCATGTTTCGCGCTTATTTCGGATGCTGCAACGCCAGATGGTAGTGACGGTATTAGACCTGTACAAGGTGTACGTGAATCCTTGGTCATCCGCAAGCTTGACGCGGCCATGCTGCGATGCGGAGTCGATGATTTCATACTGGAGGGGCGGTGGGGGCATTTCGGGTTCCTTGTCCATCGTGGAATCGTCTGAAACGGAATCATCGTAGCGGACAATTATAGCTTCTGGCTCAGCTGCAATGTCGTCTGAAGGCTGGTCGGCTGCCGAACACATTTCGGGTTCCTCGTCCGTCGTGGAATCTTCTGAAACAGAATCATCATTACGGACAATTATCGGTTCTGGCTCAGCTGCAATATCGTCCGAACACATACGGCACACCCAATTTATCTCTAAGTCGCCCCTTACCGCTTGACGGTAGGAGTCCCTAGTGATACCCGTCTCACATAACCTATTCTGCCACCTTTCACATATATCGCACTGTACGGCCTCTTACGACCTCTACCTGTACGTCATCGAACACAAATATGTTTAACAACAACAATACGCAGACAAGGTCTCGTTTGCAATCAATTAGCATATCCAGGAACTGGCTACAAGTCAGTTGTTCAACCAGTATTTCACACGACGCCGGCTGGCGTGGTAACCAGGTGTGAAGTGCACCTGACGCGGGATGATACCGCGCGTACGTATATTTCTGGTAATTAATTAAACTATTCGTGCTTCAATAAACTCAAAATTCACAGAAATCATAGCTAAGACATGTGTTTATATGCATCTAGAATTTTAGAAATGTAACTCAAATCGTTCGCGAGATATTAGCCTATAACGATACCGCGCGTATATGAGCCTATATGACGATACCGCGCGTACGAATATTTCTGGGGTACGAATAGTTGGGGCGTGTGAAACATCTCACGAGTTAGCCGGTGAACCAAGTTGGCAGATGAACCGAGATGACCGGACACCGTGGTAGTTACCGTAGTCTGTAGATACCAAACACAGGATAGGGTTACAACGCGAGCCTATGGTTTTCTGTGGAGGAACCCCTGAGTGAATCACTCAGGGCGGTTTGCTGGTGCGTTTTCAGAGACTAGAACTTCCAACCTGGGTTTATTCTCAACACGAACCTTTCTCCGCTATCCTGGAACTTACTATGTATCACAATACTGTGTATTAAACTAATATAACGTGTTACAGAAATTCGAAGTGACGACCGCCGAACGCTATGCGCATTGGGAATGCGTACATCACAGGTCAACAGAAATGGCGCTCAATATATCCGCCGCTCGTCACTTCGAATTGTTGTAACACGTTATATTAGTTTAATACACAGTATTGTGATACATAGTAAGTTCCAGGATAGCGGAGAAAGGTTCGTGTTGAGAATAAACCCAGGTTGGAAGTTCTAGTCTCTGAAAACTCACCAGCAAACCGCGCTGAGTGATTCACTCAGGGGTTCCTCCACAGAAAACCATTGGCTTGCGTTGTAACCCTATCCTGTGTTTGGGTTACATTATTGTATCTAGTAGGTACCGGTACCATGCAATGGATACTTCTGTTCTAGTTCTAGTTCTATACTGGACAGTCCGTAAGGAATAAACGTGACAGGGCTATAGCAGCATTAGCTAGCCATGGGGTGTGACCTAGCTTAGGTAAAGCCACGTAGTTATGCCTTTTAGCCGTATGGTTGGCCATTGATCTGACTGTTTGTTTGGTCCAATATGGTGGCCTGCCCCTCAGCCAATCACAGCTTGTTCTTTGTTATGAACCATCCCGTGAAAAATGTGGATCACGGCCTGCCCCTGTGCCGAAATGTGAACCGGTGAAAGTGAGTTTGCGTTTGTTTGGTCGGATCAGGATCACATGATCTCGATCAGACGGATTCGTCCCAAACAAACGCGCCCCTAATAGAGAAGAGTATGACACCGTTTTAAGTTTTAACAGCGTTTTGCATAGTTTTCAACTTGTAAATATTCTATCAATATGTGAATAAATATATTCAAACTTTACCGTGTTTTCGTCTATGATTCTCCTTTCATCATATGAAACCACCAATTTACCTAAAAATCGTATGTGTTCTTCAAAAAAGTTCTTTGAATACGACACAGTTTCACACAGTTTTCACAACAATTCGCATCTGAGCGGCGCATGTTGATATGCGGCGACAGCACCAGGTTGTAACTACGGGACGCTGGGGGCTGTTGGGGATATTAGGTAAGCACAGTAACAGCACTTGTTTCGCTTCCTTCTCATCAGGAACACGATAGCAACACAGCTAAAATCAGCTGCTAGCTCGCCCTGAGCACACATTTATTTCTAGCACGCTGGAAACGCTACACGCTGAATACAATTCGATGCCTAATATCCCCAACAGCCCCAGCGTTCCGCCATAGACAATAGAACACTAATCCGATAATAAACTTGCGCCGAATAGATGCGAAGATTTGGGAAAACTGTGTGAAACCGTGTCGTATTCAACTAACTTTTTTGAAGAACACATACGATTTTCAGGTAAATTGGTGGTGTCATATGATTAAGGGAGAATCATAGACGAAAACAAGGTAAAGTTTGAATATATTTATTCACTTATTGATAGAATATTTACAAGTTGAAAACTATGCAAAACGGTGTCATACTATTCTCTATTATGAGCTCTTGATATATATATGGTCATCACGACAAGGAATGATGGCCGTTTGCGTTCTTCAATTTGTGCATAGATGTGAAGCTATTGCGTAAAAATACTGAGTGCATCTCTTACCCCACAATTTTACTATACCATTATTTAAGGCCCTGCTAATTGTGGAGGAAATATGGTGTGGTTAGAATGTGACACAGGTTATAAGTTGGGTTGCATGCATGATATAACAGGGTTATAAACAGAGATATTAACACATTTCTTGTTACATAGATGATACTGACTGCAGTTCGAATCTGCAAATTTCTCTATATTATCAGACAGTGTAACTGTTATCTGCCACTGCGTGCTATTTATATACTGCACAGTGTTGTACTGTGTGCGCATGTATTTTTCATAATCCCATACTGATTTGTCTCTTTCTTCATTGCATACCCCTATTAAAATAGCTTTGCTACCTTGTCTAAGCAGATCAGAGAAACCAACTGTAATCACTCCATTTTTGAAACAATAACTAACAATAACATTAGTGCTGTTTCTCATTTCTTTAGCTATACTATGCTGGAGAATGATAATTGACATGTTCCTTGCTAAACATGAGTCGGATAGTGGGAAGAGTCAAAACCAGATTTCATACTGATACTCCATTAAGTCCATTTCCATTTAATCTATAATAATTTGTCCTGCCCCTTGTTTGTGCATTCTGTAACATTTTTGATTATGCAGCTACCTTTAGGTCCCATTTTGCTAAGATAGCCTGACAGTGTTGACTGTAGCTTGTGTTGTTGTCATTTCTTTTGTTGGTTGTAGGTGAAATAATAAAAAAATGCAGTACCTAGTTTATGTGATCCAGCTTCTGTGTAAGTATCTATGCATAGATTATCATGTACGTGGTCTCCCAAACAGGTCAAAATCCCTGTGTATGCCTCTCTGGTTGTGCAATTCTCGTCCCGCCTCGTCTTTAAATACGCAATTCCTGGTGGTGTCTTTAGCGCGCGCTATCACAGAATGCGCTGCAAGCCATCCCAACTTATGCTGAGAGGGTCTATGCCCCCCCCCCCGGGTACTGCCGGAACGTACCCTGGGTATGGTGCGATTTACCGGAACGTACCCTGGTACTATCTAATATGCCGGACCGTACCTCGCCTACTCCACTAACGAGTATAGGGAGTCGCCTACGTCTACGCCTACTCCCTAACCCTAACCCTAACCCTAACTCTAACCATATCAGATAATTACCAGGGTACGTTCCGGCAGTACCCTGGGGGACATAGACCCTATGAGCCCAACTTATATTGCACGCTACAACAACAGCTGCACAGCAGCAATTTAGAAGTCTTCATACTTTTGATATCTCACTTGTTTCTGAAAGTTCATGAATGTTCCATTCCAAAAACCACACTGAAAGCTGAACAGCATATCCATGCAACTGTCTGTGATGGAAACGGCCCAGTTCAATGCTGTATAACTAAGTTCGTATGCATCTCAAAAACGTCCCTACGATCTTATAATATAGATTACATAGTGTAGTTGTTGTAATGAATAAATACACAATAGGCATCCTATCTGTCTGCCTACTGGTCTATCTGTCTGTCTCTGTGTCTATCTGGCTGGGTGACTATTTGCATCTGTCTATCTTTCTGCGTGTCCATTGATCGGGCCGGAATTTAGGCACTCGTCCGTTCATCCATGACCTTTTAGGTTTTAAGTAAATTTAATTGACGGAAGCAAGATCTTCCCCTCTCACTTACTGTTCCCATATTACAAGTTGTGAAGTTTTAGTATACTAGTATTTTTCCCAGCTGTGTCTGCTTATCCATCCATGTCTAGCTATCTCTCTCTCAGTACCAAATAAAATGCGAAATTCTGGAAGTTAATAAATTTTTTTGCAGAGTACCGGGAGTGTTTCTACCTGAATGCTAGGACTGGTGCATTAATCAGTGATGACCAACTTAGTCATGTTATGCGTTCACTAGGACTGAGCCCGACACGCCGTGAAACCACCAAGTACTTTCAGGAAAAGGGTAAATTGAATCTGAACTGCTGAGGCAAATTCATGTAAAGGCAGGGAAATGTATAGTAAATGCTGTATCAAATCATAATGTGTGATGTAGTACTAAATTCATTGCACTGCCTTTGGTAATAAATCATATGACTGTTTATTTCAGCTACGAACAACAGAGTGGATTTTGCTGGCTTTCTGGATATTATGCATCAGCATAACGCCAAGGAGGATGTTACAGGTTTTGCACTATTTGTATCCCCTGCGAGGAAGTCGGCGGAGATACTGGTTTCATCTCTGTCCAGCCGCTGCCGCCACTCGGTCCGCCGCAGAGAATTTCCCTTACTGCGACCTTTATTTGACATTTACCTTGACCTTGATCATATTTCCCTTCCGCTCTCTAAGTCGGCCCCTAATTGACCTAGCGCTACCAAACTTGGTATACTTACACATCTTGGGGAGAAGGTGCGCAGCGTACCAAAACCAGGTCACTGCGACCTTTATTTGAACTTTACTTTGACCTTGATCATATTTCCATTCAGCTCTATAACTCGGCCCCTAATTGACCTAGCACTACCAAAACCAGGTCACTACGACCTTTATTTGACTTTTACCTTGACCTTGATCATACTCTTCCGCTCTATAACTCGACCCCTAATTGACCTAGCGCGACCAAACTTCGTATACTTACACATCTTGGGGAGACGGTGTGCAGAGTACAAAAACCAGGTCACTGCGACCTTTATTAGACCTTGACATTGACCTTGATCATATTTTCCTTTCGCTCTATATCTCGGCCCTTAATTGACCTAGCGCGACCAAACTTGGTATACTTACACATCTTGGGCAGAATGTGTGTCGCGTACCAAAACCACATCACTGCGGCTTTTATTTGACCTTTAACTTGACCTTGATCATATTTCCCTTCCGCTCTATAACTCGGCCCCTAATTGACCTAGCGCTACCCAAACCAGGTCATTACGACCTTTATTTGACCTTGATCATATTTCCCTTCCGCTCTATAACTCGGCCCCTAATTGACCTAGCGCGAGCAAACTTTGTATACTTACACATCTTGGGGAGAAGGTATGTCGCATACCAAAACCTACCTTCTACGTTCTTACAGAGATATTTCATTCATACTAGATCACGGGGGATACATGTAGTTGGCGACAACTGCCCTTTCTAGTTATTATTGTCACGATATACATATGGGTAGATGTTTATCATGTGTTATTTGCTTATCGAAGGTTTAAGAATACATGTAACATTGATAGCTTAACATAATTATAGTCATGTAAATATATAATGATTACAGGAAATTAAGTATTATAGTGCTATATGTTTCAGGGGAGGTGATAGCAGCATTTAAACTCTGGGACAGGCACAATCGTGGCTACATATCTGCAAGAGACTTGAAGCACATTCTCAGTGATTTTGGAGACAAGTTAACAAAAAGAGAGGGTAAATAACAATAGCAGCTACTCGAAAATAGCAGCAGGAGTTGTCAGCATATATGTTATATATATATATATATATATATAT